AAACCAACTTCCCCAATTTTCGCGGAGGCATCAATACGACAGTCATCGTCTCATCGGTCGCTGTTCAGAAAGAAGTCAGCAATAAACTGTCAGAAGTAATATTGTGATTTATTATTGTAATATTTGTTCACAGACCTTAGTAGAAATATTTTTTATATGTTGGTGTTACAATAAAGAATTCTCAAGCGGCCAATCGGTGTTTTGGTTTTTTCGTCCGTTATTACTAAGCGTTTCTGAGAAACTTCAAGGAACAGCGTGAGCCCGAGCGTAGCAAGAGCTGGGCATTAACGATTTACGGGACGTGGCTGACACAATATGTGTTTTTTTCTTCAATATTGAGGCTGAAATTTCGTGTTGGCTGAGAAAATTTAGATTGGATGAGGGGTTTTATTTATTCCTTGTGGATAGTATGCTGGGGTAGAGTTACGTGTATCGCAGTTGTGACTAATATTTTGTGTGTTTAAGTTATTTTCGTAAATATTAGTCCATTGACGGTCTTGGGTGGTCTGTATGCGATGGTTTTCGGGGATGTGGTGAGTCAAAAGGCCACCTTTAGGAAACATGCCTAGCCCACTTGTTCCTTGTTGTAGAGGTCCCTGGATCAAACTTTTGTCTATAGTAGCCGTAGATTGGAGAGTTGTGTCGGGGTAGGTGCGTGCCTGCCCGTCGGGCTTCGACTTATTTTTAGGGCGCCCAGACATATAGCGTCTGTTGTGTCTATCGGAAGGAGATTTGTCCGATGTTGGATGAATCGGCGGGTTATCTCTCTTTCCATTGACGTTATATTTATGGCGGTATGAGGGCTTATTCTGCTTCCATGGGTTAGTTACATGATTGGGGTCGCTTAAGTTAATGTTATTTGGTTCGCTGCTGAGAAACCTATCAGTGATGTGTTTGAGTACAGGTATTCTGGATGGCAGGGTTATTTTACTTCGTTTTGTATGCTCACTAATCTGAGTGCTGCTCGGGGAGGATATGCTTAATGCTACATGCTCGAGCTTAGCCTTTTGCGTAACGTTGGTAGTGGTATTAGCGGCTGATGGTGATGTGGCTAGCGAGCATAACTCTGAAGATGCATCTAAGTCTATGACCGTAGTTGCTTCATCGTTGAGTTTACTAGGTAAATTTTTATTATTTAAGAGTATTTCATGTATGTCTGTACCATTAGGTTTACTCAAGTGTAAGGCGACAGAGTCTTCTATAGGACATTCTGCTGTTACGTAAGTTTTTGCGACACTTGGTACACTTGCGCGGCTACGTCTTTGACATGGCGTTAGGTCATGGGCAAGTTTAATATTACCATAAGGTGTGGATGAACTAATTAACTTATTTGACGACTGAAATTTCCTAGCATCATTAGGACTACTGAATTTAAACAGCACAGGGCAAGTATACTTTCCTGATTTTTTCCTGAGTCTGATTAGGTGGCAATTCGCTGATGGCATGCCACACGCTTGGAGACATGTCACTTTGATTTTGTCCAGAGGCGTCCGATCAGGCAGATTGTAAGCGAGAACGTTGTACGAGGACATGATTCGTTTAGTAACTTCACTGGCTATAAAGTCTAACATACGCTCAGATTTCAGCAGACTTTCCGGATTAGCATCATGAGTTGGGTTACAAAGAAGCAGTAGTGGCTTAATGGTGTTTATATTCTCATTTAATTCCTTCACAGAGTTTCCTAGAGAAATTATTTGTTCAGCAGTTGCATATACCTCTGACAACAAGTCGGGAACAATGACTTCGGGGACATTGTTGAGGCTACGCGGAACGCACAGTGATGTACGTATCTTCTTAGCTGAGTGACCCAAACTATTCTTACGTATGGAAAGTACTCGTTTATTACGTTGCGCCATTGCTGAAAACTAATCAATATGGTTTAAAGTTAAAGCCGAGCTAAATCGAAAACGGGTATATGGAAAAATAGTATATCGAGTGGATATACAGATTAAGTACTACTATGGATACCGTATGGAATTTTATTGCTTATAAATAAACAATAAATTTACAAAGTACTAAAAAGTAAAATACAGAGTATATAGAAACCAATTATCCTGTAAATTGATCCTGGTATGTAAACCACAAAATGATGAACTTCTCTACAGTTTTCTTTTCTGTGACGTTGTTCTAAAGTTACAATAAGGAGGATGAGCCCTGCGAAAGAGTGGATCCAAACTTGATAACTGGCGGTGATATATCTGCAGAATTGGAAGCTAGGGTAGCAGCCAATATAAGTTATAGTTGAGCAGTGGTATAATATCCACAACAATATTCCAGAAATCGGTAAAAATATATCCACGTTATGGGGAGAGATTGTACCGTCCGATCAGAATCGCGCGCTATCTTGTACTGCAGTGTCCAGCTGAGGCTGATAATGTACGGGGGTCCATCGGGGTGGTTGACGCATACACAAATGTCTGTTCGTATCAATACGGTGCTGAACAACACCGGTGCGTACCGTATTGTGGATCACTTGACATATGGCATTGTCATATAGCTGCTGAATAGGGCCGTAAAAAATTTGGTGTCCTCCGTGGTGTTGAATTAGTTTCCAAAATAATTTACAGTTAGCAATTTCGAAGGCTTTCACAAAGTGTGCGAAGTTTATAGAGAGGTAGATTTGACTGCTATTCTATGTTCCGTCCGATGATGATCCGTAGAGTTGCAATTTGATAAGCAAACGTTTCGCTTTTCCCGGACCCGATTTATTCTGAATGCAGTGCACCTTTTATTCTCCCCAGGCTGACAGGGCTTTGCATTTCGCTCGGAGTGAACATGGGCATCATTCCGAGCTGGTTCGTGCATAGGACTAAGTCGCCCTTCTTTGGTAGTTTCACAAGGCAATCCTTCTTCCAGTCAGTAGATACCTTTACTTCCTTCTAAACTAATTGTAACACTGGCATCAGCCTGCGTTCTGAGGCTCCTGGACGCGTTCTCAGTGCTTCAGGGGGACCACTGTCTGGTCTTTCTGCCCTTCCGGAGTTCAGTAACTTGGTTGTACTAAAGACTTTTGCTTCTGTCGGAGAATAGATGTTCACTGACAACTGAGTCACTGTTGGAGGTATTTCTGGACTACTTGTTGGAGCCCTTGAAATGACCAATTCACTGTTATCTTTGTTTCCCCTCTTCAGTTCGGATCAATTCTTCGTCTTAGACAAAAAAGGCCGCAAGGACACTGTCAGCATTGACCGTCTGCAACCGGCTTACTTGGAAGTTAATCCTATTAGCATAGAGCTAAGCGTACCCCATAATCCACAAGTAACCGAGGATCGTTTAGTCCTCGATGAAGTCACTAGTACGGCGAAAACTACCGAATCTTCTGTCCAGCCCTCGAAGAAAACACGTTCTGGACGTACCGTAAGATTTCCAGAATATCTTCACACCTATAAAACATAACTAAATGGTGTTATTCATCCAACTCATTTGTTTGCGGTATTAATTATTTTTGCTTCTTTTCAGGCATCAATTTTTTTATATAGCATCAACAAACACATGTAAAACAATTTTTTTCTAACCGTACAGTTTGCATGCACTAACAAATTTAGATCTATACTTTTTCGATGTTCTAAACTTTACATTATTTTACTGTATGCTAGATGCACATAATTTTTGTAGAAAAAACGCCGATTTGGTACATTTTCCTCAACAAAGTTCTTAGCGTTCTTGTTTTCCTTTCCAGGTGCGACGGGAACTGGACAAGAAACCAAGGAAGCACGGGGTCCAGCAAACAACATCAAGGAAGCGATGTGCAAACACCCTATTAGCATATGCGGACAGACCAGGAGGCACGCCACCAAGCCGCTCGGAAGGTTTTTTTCACCCGAAAGGGAACAATCGAGTTTTTTACTTGCGGCTGGTTCTGTCTTAGGGTCCTCACAACCCCACTAGGCGGGGGAGTGAGCTGTAGCGGTAAATAATTCCCCGAAATTGTTGACCATAGGAATAGATTGTCTAAGAGAAGAATTACATCGAGACCACAAGAATCATCAGTGAACATTGGATGCTGACTCTTAGAGTTTAGGTCGACTTGTTTACCTGAAGGCTTCCCGTCAAGCATCCCCGCCATTTGGTACTCCGTCGTGTCACTGTCGTGCACGATAACTAGCTAGCTCAACTTCCGCTTCAATCCACGATTTGGTTCCGAAATATATCTCATAATTTGGACAATCAATTGTGGTGTCTCGCTTTGCCTTTGATACACGAGAACCAAATAAGATAGAAGTTGTTGTTATAAGATCTTGCGTTAATATACTCAGTACTGTTCGCGAACGTCTATACCGTCAACCTTTAAAAGCTCCAGGTTGGTCATGAGCCATAGATAGGAGTAGTGATGGTAGCCTAGTGTGCAACCAAGTAAGCAGGTATTTCGATGAAACAAACAGCTTTGGAATAGATTGGTCGTCTCCGCCGAACATTCTCCCATGTTGTGATGACTGAACGCCATGATGATTTGCGAGAATTCCAGTTCATACAACCTTCAGTGCTTTCTAAAAGGCGTTTCAAACTACTTGTGATATCACTGTTTCACTCTAGGCTAGCCTAACGTAGATATCTTTTTACTCCAACGACCGACATACTGCTGTAGGGGGAATAAATTACGTGAAAAATTAGTTAATTATCTTCATTTCGTGAATTACCGGACAATAAGTGTTTCAAACAAGTGGTCAGATTGGCATGCAGCCAAACATAGACTACAGCTGGCTAATTGAAAGCCCAATCAGGTTGGAATATGGGCCCATAAAAGACAGTCTAATGAAAATAGCATAACAGGCATGTTTATATTTGCACTTCGGTTTTTAAAGCAGAATTTCTCATTTGTTACTAAGACGACCAAGCATTCAAGTATTCAAAAAAAACCGAACACAACAACATTCTGAAGTGTATTGTGGATTTTCCCCCTGCAAACCTACCCTCACTACGTCACTAGATGGGCCTAAGTTATTTCCTATTGAACACGTGAACCGAACTTTTGTTTTAACTAGGCAATGGGGTCTAGAACCACTTTCTAGAGTTGAGTGCGATTTGTGTTTCTCGAGGTTGACTGGTTGCTCTTGTTATCATGGCGGTGTCAGTTGTTGGGCTGGATGTCGGTACTCTAACTTCGTATATTGGTGTAGCTAGAGGAGGTGGTATTGAGGTGATAGCAAATGAATACAGTGAAAGAGCAACGCCGTAGGTTAATTACAGTGGACTCATGAACTTTAGTACATGTGTTGCATTTTCAGGTAACCTAACCCTCGTAGGCACAGCGGCGAAATTACAACATGTTATGAATTACAAAAACACTTTCACAAACTTCACCCAATTACTTGGCAAGAGTCCCACAGACTTTGCTGTTGCCAAAGAGAAGAGACATTTGACTCACGCAGTAGAGTGTCGTGATGGTCGTGTTTCTTTCCCGGTATGTCGTTTCGCATCATATATTTCCCTCCAAGGTTGTTTTAAATGGAGTTAGTACTTCGTTTATTCCTGAACAAGTTCTCGCCATCCAACTGAATAAACTCAAGGAAATCACAGAATGCGCAATTGGTTCAAAAGTCGTGGATGTCGTTATAAACGTCCCAACTTATTACACAGACGCCGAACGGAGATCTGTACTAGATGCTTCAAAGATAGCTGGTCTAAACTGTGTAAAACTAGTTAATGACTTGACAGCAGGTAAGTTATTTCTAATTGTATATTCTCTGAAGTTGGGACCGCATACGGCTTTTATAGTACTGATTTGCCTCCTGTTGATCGTCCTCCAAAAGTTGTGTGTTTCGTTAGCGTTGGTTATAGCACCACACAAATCAGTATCTGTGCTTTCAATACAGGTAAAATGAAAGTCCTTGCAACAGTGTGTGATGCTTTTCTTGGTGGTCGGGATTTCGATAGAAAGCTTTTCGACAAGTTCGCCTCAGATTTCCAACAGCAATACAAAATTAAGGTAAGTTTTTGACTAAACACCCTAATTTTTTAGGAACCCTTATCTGTAAAAGCAACTATTAGACTGCTTCAAGAATGCGAGAAGCTTAAAAAAGCAATGAGTGCCAATTCTTCAGAATTGCCAATAAATGTCGAATGTTTGGCAGAAGAACGTGATCTAGCAAACAAAATGAAACGGACTGATTTCGAGGAAATGTGTTCGGATCTTGTGCAGCGTTTCCAAGATCTACTAACACGTTGCCTTGATACTGCTAAGTTGAAAGCAGAAGACGTTCATTCAGTGGAACTTATTGGTGGTAGTTCGCGTATACCTATGTTAAAGAATGCTATTTTGTCTGTATTCAAGCAAGAAGGAAGAACTAGTTTAAACGCTGATGAGGCAGTTGCTCGTGGATGCGCTTTCCAGGTATGTGGTTTGCATTTGGCTGAATGTCGATATGACTAAAGCGAGTCAAAAGTAGGAATAATTCATCTTTATCTCACTAGTTTCCACTTCGAACGTTTTGTTCCACATCTTACTGTAAGCCCACTGCATGCACATGTATCTAGAAGTTTCTTAGTACTGTAAGCTAATCTTCACTACATCTCATGGAGATATGCGGTACTACTAGTTTAAGCAGTCTTTTTAGATTATACTTAAAGCGGTAAAGAATGGAATGCAGTGAATACTCGGGGTCATTTAGTTAGTGTATGTTGTCTGGGATTGATAGGGTTTTCATTTTGCGCATTTAAGGCTGTGATGGTGTGTTATAAGTCAGGAAAATGTCACAAACGTGATGCAATTGTTGCTGTACATGGGTTTTATCCATGCTTAATTGGAAGACTAAGTTTTGGTCGTTGTGGCACACTCGAACAATTTGTTTTTTGGTAGACTGGAAGTGTAATATGTCACAGGACGTGCTTTTATGATCGGAGTAGCGGGCAAGGTTGCTGTCATGTGTTTTGCTATATTAAAAACGAAGTTTAGACTCAAAGTTTACATTTGTCCACAGATTCTTACAATTATGTAAATCTTTTTCAGGCAGCCATCTGCTCACCGGCCTTCAAGGTAAGAGACTTCAGTGTAGTGGAGCCGTGTCTGTACCCTATTGTGCTACAAGTTGATCGGGAAGAAGGTGGTGATCAGTGCATGCAAACTGAAGAAATAGACGGAGCAGTAGCAATCCAGAGCAAAGATATGTGTATTGAAGTGTTTCCTCATCTTCATCCTATTCCTTCTTCACGTCAGATTGTCCTGTCTCGCCGTGGCATCCTTACTTTGGAAGCTCGGTATGCGGATAAAGATGCCCTACCGAATCAAAATGTATCAATTGGAACCTTTAAAATAGGCAATCCTTCTGAAACATTTACAGAACCTCGTAAAATTAGACTTAAAGTCCGTATGAATACTCATGGTATCTTTAACATATCACAAGCGCAGTTGGTGGAAGAGTATGAGAAAGAAGTTGAAGTCACTGTTCCTGAGGACGGTCCCAAAGCAGATGGTTCTGGAAATGCAAAGGCGGAAGTAAACGCTCCTAGCAATGGAGATGTTGGCAATCAACAACCAGCTGAAGTTAATAGTGAATCAACACCCAACGCCGAGCCAGATTCAACTTCACCAAAGAAGAAGACTGTAACAAAGAAGAAGTTTACTAAATATCATGACTTAAGTATTGATGTTAACAATATGCAACTCAGCACAAAACAGCTAAACGAGTTCTGTGAAGTTGAGGTATGTCTACCACAGTAAAATTACCACTTTATTTATGAAGGCAAGCTTTCTGCCTGGACAACCGTTTAAAATAACGTGCATATATACTCGGTTTTAATAACCAGGAAAAGTGTAATTGTTCCATTGTTTATACCTTAGGTAAACATTTTCCCAAGATTCATAACTACATTTGAGTTTCATGCCAGTGTTTTCGTAAATTCAATCGTAGGTGCATAAATCTTCCTAGTACCATCCGCTTCGCACCTTTTTTGTATGGCGGTCAGACAACTGTGGCTTCTTACTCTTTTCGTGATAAGCTGAAGGGGGTGAGACAGCTAAAAAGGTCAACATGTAAGTCATATAATATGACTATAAGATGTCAAAAGGGTTTATGATTTCCATCGGCTTCATAATCATGAGCCCCTCCTCTTAAACACTGGTAGTCTGTGTGCAATACTTAATACAAAGTCTAAAGAATGCCTGAAACAATCCTAAATATATCCTTACCAAAGCTCTTCAAAGATGTGTAAGACAAGTCTTTTGTCTCACCTCCACCCAAATTTAAAAAATTTTTGCGATTGATTATAACTAGGTCTTGTCGCGCAATATAATGCTGCTACAAACTATCCCTTAAAAAGAGAGTAAGACTCATTATAAATAATAATAATAATTTTTCCTTCACGTTCCCAGTAGAACATAGGGCTTCAAGCTAGTGGCTTGAAGTTTCTGTAGCAGTGTTTATTTTACAGGATGGGGTTGCTAGCCTCATGCCCAACCTTTCCTCTTTACCAGCATTGTTTCTGGCTTAGCGAGGTAAAGGAGTGCGTCCGTGGCCGGGGATCGAACCCCGGACCATGTGTATGGTCGGCGAGCGTCCTAACCGCTATGCCACCGACGCACTAGACTCATTATAGATAAAATTTTATTTTGATCAAGTAACAATGCTATACAGTAAAGTAAGATACCCTTTCCTGAGATGCATAACTGCACTTTCCCAAAGTCTCTAGTCTTAGCTAACCAGTCACCGGTAATTTTCCACATTTTGATAATCTACTAGTAGTAAAAATGATGACAGACGGAGTACATATGTTGATATTTCTTATTCCTGTCCTATCTATCGGGAACAGTTATAGAGGTTTATTTAATACATGACAGGATATATTTCCTCCCTCCTAGACAATTTATTTGTTTTTAACTTTTTTGCTATTTTTTCAGGCCAATCTTATCCAACAGGATAAAATGGAACGGGAAAGAGTTAATGCTAAAAATGCTGTTGAAGAATATGTATACGATATTCGCTCTAAAATTCAAGGTCCGTTAAGTCCTTTCTTGACGCCTGCTGAGTCAGAATCACTTTTACGGATGTTGGATGCAACAGAAGAGTGGTTGTATGGTGAAGGCGAAGAAGTAACCCGTCAGGTTTATGTGGAGAAACTCACTGAGTTGAAGAGTAAGAGTGATCCAGTTGTACATCGAGCAAACGAACATCTCAACCGCCCCATGATAGTAGAAAATTTCAATCGGTCAATTATGGTTAGTTTGTGTTTTAGTCATTATACTTTGCGTGGTGTATTGTTTCTTGAGAAATGTGTTATCAAATGTTGCACATACTGAACTTGGCTGGTTTTCAGTAGTAGTAAATAGAGCGTTCGTTACGACATAGTTTTGAATGCTTCGTTGCGTCATCACTAAAGTTCACACAAAGGTTTTTGAGGTGCAGTTTATTTATTTATCTAAGAACAAACTAGGCATTGATAAATAGAGAACAAAATGGAAAAAGTATTGATACCAGTTTCATCTGAAGTGTTCATTTTGGTCTATAACGAAGAAGGAGGATACAGTATGATAATAGCCGGATTGCATTACTCTTCGAATCCGCTGATGGAACTGTAAGAGCGCAACGTAACCATCCTTTACTGCTGTCTACCAGACAGTGCCAAACATTAGTTTTGTCCAATGCACTGAATTCAACTCATGTTAGGAAATAAAATTTTTATGATCGTATTCTGCTCCAACCACTTGTATTATTTTCGTGAAGAATTTCATATCTTTCAACTCCTTTATTGTGTTCATTGAGATTTGCTATCTTTGCTGACTTTCATTTCCAAGTGGGTAGGTGCATTATTTGTTGTGATTAACTCATTGTTAGTAAGTCACTCATGTCACAGTTACGTTTGCCTAAATTGACTTAACGAGATTTGCCATTTTGCGATGTTTAGGAATAAAACGCTAGATTAAATATATACATATGAGTTGTTGCCCATTCAAAAATTGTTTTAACTTCGTGCAAATGTTTAGGTTTCTGAGATCCTTTCACATTTGTATATCATTTGGACAGTTGTGGAAACCTAAAAGACGTTATAGGTTGCTTATTGTACGCTGTACAAGTGTCGAATATGGGATAATCAACATTCATGATGTATTTTAATCCAAGTTTCATAAATTTGTGTTTATTTTTCAACTTTTTGTTCTGCAGCATATTAAAAAAGTTTTAGACAGCTTATCAGCTGGTGAACCAACGTACGATCACTTGACTCCAGAACAGGTCAGTCAGCTGAAGGAAATGATAGTTCAGTATGAGGGTTGGCTGCATCAGCAGATGACACAACAGAATTCTCGACCACAGACTGCGGACCCTGTTGTAAAAGTTTCAGAAATTATGTCTCAGCAAAAGGTGAGTGATGTTTGCTGAATTAACTATACATTCTGTGACGTGGTCGTAACTGCATACACTTTATTACTGTGTGTAAACGTCAAATTAATTACAAAATGCTTTAACTTTGGACAGCGAACTGATTTTCAGAAGGTCTCATTGGTTTTATCCGAGTTTTAGTGTGAAGAAATTAATTATAACTGACCTTTATGATAGGTGGGGCTGTCTACTGACTAAGGTGAGCTACAAGGTTTTTAGTAGCCAATATTGTAGGAATTGTGTAGCTCACATCGTCTGTCTAGAAAGATCATAGGAAGTGGTTTGTCTGGAAATCAAGATAGTTTATAAGACTATATGGGCATAGTTTTAATTGACTGGTTTCATCAACTTGTCTGTTTGTGCAATATGTTTACGCTTGCATAAAGTGAGCATATAGTGTATCCTATCTCATACTAATTAGAACTGTAAATGGCATTTTTGTGTATTCATCTATATCCTTACATCATGGTCTACTTTCAGGCATTTGAGTCGACGTGTCATCCTATCATCAATACACCGAAACCGGCTCCACCAACCCAAACAGATGGTCCAGCTACCCAGAATTCTGATCAGTCCAACAATATGAATAACAACACCAAGGAGGACAATAATCCAAAAACATGTCATTCCAACAAGAATGCCAAAAATGAAGAAAACATGGATTTGGATTAGTGATACGTGGCTTAACTTCTGTGAAATCTTATTCTGTTTAATTGAACATTTTGTCTAATCACTTAGTTTTTTGTTCATATCCTTGAAACTGACGGATGCCTTAGAGATATTACCACCAACTCGGCAATAGCTTTATGCAACATTGTGTAACTGGATCTGAGTATAGATAAGGATGGGTATGGTTCATGTACCAACTAAATGCTAGCTGCGCTAGTTTAGAAAACATCGAGGCCCTTATAGCAACTGGTAGTGCGACTATATTCATTATTTAGTGACATCGAATCTCAACATGCCTTCTGTTTGTTAGACAATATTCCTTAACATCCCACTTTACAAATTAATCTAAGGAGATTCCCAGATAATATACGTAAGCCTTAACAGCATTATATTGACAAACTACAAACATGTTAGTGTTTTTATGATATCAGCATGTAGGCTAGTCAACGTTCAGAACAGATATCGTCCCGGAAGCGATACTACTTATAGAACGACTGAAAAACACAAGAAGCAGTTGACTAGTGGTTCTTGGCACTTTGAGAATGGGGGGAGTGTGGAATCATGCAGCGTCAATTATAAATGTTCCCAATAATTGAAAATAAGGTGACCACCCCTCACCATTACCATCGATGATCAGTCGGGTACACACCCAAAACCGATTCTTACATACACGAATTCCCCAATATTGCTCGCTCAATATGTTGTGATGGCAGGTAGTGACCTTTAGGAGGATGATCCATATGACCGATTGCTTAGTGAATGGAAATTCTCGTATTGGTTTATAAACAAAAAGATAACGTAACAATGAAGGGGATTTTCATTTTGACGAGCCATTTTCTAAAACCCTACAGTCTTATTTGTGTTCAGTAAAGAAACGCAAAGAGGCAATATATTTTAGAAATTGTTTTGCGTAGTGTAATATTTTTCTCTGGACAGTGTTCCAAGGTTCATTTGCGAAATTGACGCTGTGTACGGCCGATATCTTTTGATTCACCGGAACAAGTAGATTGATAAATATAATGACGTCGCCAAAGGTCGTATCTTGTCCTGAGGGGTGTTATTTGTAAGATAGATATCTGAAAAGCTTTCTTCAGACATCTGGGATGCTGTTGTTTAGTAGTTTACGCCTCAATGTTACCTGTGAACTCCAGATTCGTGAATAGATTTTTTCAGGAACGCTTGCTGAATCCAATGACGTCGGTTTTCCCTATTATTTCTGTCGTGGAGATGTGGCTCATCGACTTGGGTAGTCATCAGTCCTTACACAATAAGTATGGCTCATAACCTTGATATACAAAAAATGTGTTCTGGGTAGTTGAGCCTGAACAATTATTCGATTATTTCTGTCAATAAATCTAGGCGGATATCCATCTACTAACAAGGTGTCTCGTAGACACTACAATATAGTCTCTGTTGTATCCTACGAACAGATTTTCCGAAACCTTGAGCATAGAGAATGTACTAAGTATTGTTTCTTGTCATATTGGATATAACTCTGGGAGTTAGTAGACGGTCTAGTCCATGTTGGTTTTCGGTATGTTTATCTGATCTAGTAATTAGAACCTCAATGAATGGAAAAGGAAGGTTTAATTCTCCTTCCAGAGTCAATTTTATGGGAGGATGTCCCGTCGAAAGTGTTGAGGAAGACTACCCAGGTCGAATTTCTCATCGCAGAATATTAAAGTATCATCTACATGTCTTTCGTAGAGATGCAGTCGACTAATCGAAGGATTGATTATGTTGTTTCCACGACAAGCCATGAAACAATCAGCTAAGGATGGGCCAATAGGAGACCCCATGGACACATCATTCTGTACGTTGAATCGAGTGTACGTCTTAAGAGCAGTTCCTTTAGGTAGTTAGTAGGAGGACAAATCCCTGGGTTACTTGATATAGTCACATATGAGGCATATCGTCTCAGTTAGTGCAGGTACTTGTCTCTGTTTATGTAAGAAACAATTAAACACACCTGAAAGTGACGGCAAAATTTATCCCGGAAATGCCTGACATAATAACCAGTCGGCTGCAGGTACAATGGGAAAGACTGTTGATAAATCCAAACCAAAGGTTAGTAAACCGCTGTATATTTCATCTGCAGTTTTAGAAGCAGAAAGACTGATTTCCATGTGTTCCGAATCCAATGAGGAGTGAAAGAACATTGGCGGGCGATAGGGGTGGAAAAGATATCGTTAGAAGGTAACAGCAGACAACTCTTTCAACTCAACAGGCTGTAAAAGACTATTAATAAGTGAAACAATTTCCAAGAAGAACGATGTTTTTATTGCCTCTCAGGATAGATGACTGAGATGTCGAGGGGACACTGTAGGAAGGGATTCGATTGGGTTATAATCATGCTAAATTTATCCAGTATCTAACACCTACGTTTGTATGGTATGGACATCGGTTCTATAATTGAAACGGGTTGCAAAGAGTCTGTAATCTAAGAATAAGCTAAGTAGCCGAACCTTATGTTATGAATTCAGAGGTGTTTAAAGACGGTGGTGACGAACTATTGACGGAGTCGTTTAAGATATTAGGTAATGTATGGGAATCCATGACAGCCCCATTTGACTGTTGTAAATCAGTGATTATCCCAGCTTACAAGAAGAGAGACAAGTCTCCCAGTGATGATAATAATAAGAGGATCGGCTTGATTAACATAATATCTGAAGTTCTAAGTACAGAAATCCTTCGTAGACTGAGAGGCCTTAGGGAGGAAACAGTCTGGGAAAACCAAGCAGGTTTTATGCTATGAAGAGGATGTTTCGGGCATATTTTCACTCTTGGCCAGATTCTGGGACACTGGCTTACTTGCTGGCATCCAACACTCGCCGTTTATCTTGACCTGAAGGTGGCACTTGACTCTGTCGACCAAGATATGCTGTGGCAATGTCTGGTTGTGAAGATAGTACCGGGAAAGTATGTCTCAGTGATCAAGGCACGTAGCCACGCAAGAGCTTATGAAGAATGGTCACTTGATATTATAGTCAACAGAAAGGTCCCTTAGAAATACCAAATGTCTCCATTTTTGTTTAAGTGTATCACAGATATGACCCTAATCGACTTTAGAAACTCAGCAATTAGCTTGTTGCTAGTTCGTATTCTTATCGATTTAAAATATTCATGTGATATTGTAAAATACTGGTGAAATTCAGAATACCATGAACAGTAATTGTGATATGTTTGACACAGTGTTCGCCCCAATCAAATGAAAGGTAATGCTTCAGGATTCTTATTTACCGACTTCTGGTTTTAAACCAAGAAATGATTAGTTGGTTAAGCATGGTTAGAACGCTCAAAACAGAAGTGATAATAGGCATGACATCTGGATATCGATCAAAAGATGCGTGTACTGCACAGAACTTCGCCACCGTCAACCATTGATCATCGGGTGCATTTTCCATATAGTCTATCACTGCTGACTAGGATTCTTGATGCATCATCAGAGAATCTGTTGTTATTATTATTATTAAACACGAACTTGTTACACTATGAGCACAAAATCTCATAGTCTGTGCCAGTACTGCGAAGTCCAGACCGAAGCAGGTGGTTGTTTTAAGGAGCCTTTTATTTGAAGCCTATTCCTCAAGGTAGAGGAGAAGCGTCAGGGGCTGTGTTCCTATCGTTTCCAATGATCAAAGCGAGTTCGTACTTCATCCGATGCGTTCGGATTCTAGAGTCCATGTACACCATTCGTTTGGAATTAGGGTTTTCCAGCTCCCCCAGGTAATCAGCATATCCACTAGTCTGGTTGTAAGCACTAGACGTCCGCATTTTTCCCCCCACTTTTGTGATGGACACCACCTCGTGAAGGCAGTGAATCCGACTTGGCAGTAGTTGTGAACGCGCAGCTACCGAAGTCTATCCATCCTCAGCAGTAGCAGGCCGTTTGTTGGAGTAACCTATTGTGATGGCATGCTGCAAATGCTCGGGATAGAATGTGCATGTAGATTTGTAGGAAATCCGGAACAATGATTTACAATATACAATTAAGCTTTAGGTTAAATACGTTAAATATCTGAGTTAAGCGTAAAAATCTAAACCACAGGATTTGTGTAAGTGATTATACTGTATTGTATATAAAAAAATGAATGGAATTTACAAACCTCAGATGATAAGATACCTGCTCCGAGTAACGTCAAAAGCCAATGTTTGAAAACTGACCATTCACGGTCAACAATAAACAGCGGGCGAGCACACTGAGTAAGAAAACAGGTTCGAATATATGATGTTCGAGAAAACAGAACATAAAGAAAATATGTACATCAAGAGTTGTTTAGTCATAGGAATGAAATTACTACAAATACAAAAGAATTTTGATTCATTAAAAAGGGATACATTTCAATGGAAGTCAATAAGTAAGAAAAGAATACGAAGTTCAGCAAAGATATCATTTCGACGATTTCATTTTCAAAAGCTGTACAATCGCACTTAAACACATAATTTTACATAGATACAATTTTTGCTTGATTCCACATAATTACGAAGGCGAATAAAATGTGAAATTTAATTTCAACTAGATATGGTTTACGAGAAGCTTAGAAACAAAATTACACAGGATTAGGATATAATTGTAAAATAGTTATTTTAAACGAATTATAAGTGTGAGCAGGAAAGCATGCAAACAAACCTAAAATAACTGTTCTTATAACTGAGAAAATGGGATGGATTGAAAGAAGACAGAGAGAATAAGAATCACACACATCGAAAGAAAAAAAGATCAAAATAGGACGAAAAGAAAATTAGAGGCTAAGGGAACATACCGAACTAGGTAGATGGTAGTTGTAGAGGTTAGACTAATTTCTTTTGAATACACAGCTCTGGTTTTTCGATGCATATTGCAAATCTTTGAATCGTTTTCCAATTCCATTGTGAATTTAATCGATGGATGGGAATTGATATGAGAATAAAACTTGTGCACTGTGGAAGACGTCGAATCTTTCTTTACCAACGTGTCACTAACCGAAACAATTTGCTTCCTGTGCACTTATATGGAGAACTCGAATACAAGCGTCGGAATACCAACATCATATTTGAAAGAATTGTTGCTGAGAGACACGCTGAATATACAATTTACTTTCAACGGTGACATCTACAGACAGAAAGACGGAATCGCAATGGATTCAACATAGAACTTGGCACCGAAGTGCAGCAGTTCGAGTTGCCACGTTCCAAATAGCACACAGAGGTAGACAAGAAGAAGAGTGAAGAGAATCAATACAGTCTGACAAATATAAGAGTGAAACAGAATGGGTAATGGTAGAAAGGAATATGAAAGATTACAGAGACTGAATACATCTGCGCCATTGACAACGATTTTGAACCATGTCACCTATTGTCTCCAGCCATTGATTCCTAGAGTCCCG